CGAGGTAGGAAAGTTTGCAGGTCTTTAAAGGTCAGTGTGTGGCAGGTCGGGGCTGTGGGGCAGGCTCAGGCCCTGCTCAGGCATTGCAGCAGGAACACCATAAATAATCTGTGGTTTGTGCTTTTGACCACAGAAACACCGCTGGGTTCATCTCTCAGTGTGGGACACGGAGCCACAGCCGAGAGAGCAAAACCCCAAGGTGTTGGCGCTTCAAGTCGTGTTTAGCTGCTATAAATTAGATTTTCAGTGTTACTGTTGAACCACAGCTTGAGGGGTTCCCATAAAAGCTATTTTTTCTTTGCAGCTATTCAAGTTGTACCTCATACCTTTTGGCTTCCTTAGGGGCCGTGATCTCTCTGCACTGAGGTGGCTCCTCATGGGAATTCAATGTCGGAGAGGTCCATCAAAGTGGGGTTGTTTCAGCAGATCAATTTAGTCTGGAAGATTTTATCACGAGGTGGGAGCTGGAGGTTTAAAAGTTCTTCCCAGGGCAGGAGCAATAATGGGAGGGGATTTAGCATGGCTCTAACTTAAGTAGTGTACGTGCAGTTTATGTCCTGGACATAATTCAATATATTTCTGTTAAAAAGCAATATAACAGGGCAAGAAGAGTGCTGGGAGCTTGGTTTCAGGTGGAATGAAAACTAGGGAAAATGATCTTTATCATCCTGCTGTATATGTTTCAGGAGGAGGAAGAAATTTATGAGTGCCCTGGACACATATAAAAGACATTGAATTTCAAAAATTCCAATATGCTATTTTTCTTCCCTGTGTGTTTTTTTAATTTGAGTGAAAGTGTTTATGGATTTTTTTTCCCAAGCATCATGTATAGAATATTGGGATAAACAGCCCTCAGATCTGGAAATAAATTACAGGGGATGTTGAATCCACCACTTTTTGTGGATCCACCTGTTGTGTTTCTCCAAGAGAAGCTGTAGGTGAAGCATGGGAATGCACATCTGATGGGCATCATGGAATCATGGAGGGGTGGAGGGGGGAAAAGGCCTTTAAGATTTTCAGTACAACAATCACCCAGCACCACTACCATGTTCATCACCAAACCATGTCCTCAAGTGACCCATACAGTCTTTTTTTGAGCACTTCCAGGGATGGAGACTCCACCACATCCCTGGGCAGCCTGCTCCAACGCTTGACAACCCTTTATGTGGAAATTTTTTTTCCTAATATCCAACCTGAACTTCCCTGGCACTACTTGAGGACGTTTCCTCTCCTCCAGTCCCTGTTCCCTGGGAGCAGAGTCCGACCCCCGCAGCTGTCCCCTCCTGTCAGGGGGCTGTGCAGAGCCAGAAGGTCCCTCCTGAGCCTCCTTTTCTCCAGGCTGAGCCCTCCCAGCTCCCTCAGCTGCTCCTGGTGCTCCAGCACCTTCTGTATTTATGTTATTTGGTGGGAAATAGGTTTTAGCAAAGCTGTTCCCAGCATGCTCACACAGTTACAAGTCATTCAGACTTTATGAATACATTTGATTAATGAACTCCAAATTTCACAGTAAACCAGGGAATTCAAATCCTCCAGCACTGTCTTGTCTGATATTAACCTGTTTCTTCTCTCTGGAATTAATGAGCTTGATGGAATCTTGCTCCCCGTCCCTTCCATGCCCCTCAGTGGAATATAACTATTAATATAAGTATTCCACAATGGCATAGTTGAGATTCAAGCAGTCAACTTGCTGTTCTTCTGGTATATTCATGGTGTGACTTTCAAAAAAATTCAATTTATGTTTGAGGTTAATGGGGAACCATTTAAAAACTCGTATATTAATATATTTCTTATCCTCTACAGCAAAGAGAAGATGATGTTTTTATTTTTCCCTCCAAGGGTGGGGGCTAAAGGCTCCTCTTAGGGCTGTGGACCTAAAATATGCTGGCAAAGGTCTGTATTTCCACTTGTTCTTTTACCACAGAAGCTGTAATTCCATAAGGGAATGCAGCTGTTATTCTGTAGGAGTATATTGCTGTTATTCTATGGAGGAATAATGCTCAGTTTGGATGATCTGTAGAACAGTGTTTTATTGCCAGATAAGAACAATTCACCACGGTGTTTTCCCAGTTGCTGAGGTTTGGAAAATGACGTTTTTTCAGGAAAGACATTAAAATAATCCTTATTCTGACTGTAATCTGGAATTAATCCAGATTGCATCAATATTCAGGTGAGAACGAGGAAGCTGCAAGCCTCTGGGATCAGAAGGAACGTGGAGCATTTAGCCAGGAAACTGTTAATTCCTTTTTTCCCTCATCCTGATAGACATCTCTTTGTGCAGGAGGGCTGGAGGAGGAGGAATGGAGCTGCTCTCTCCTGCCTTCTCCAAACTGCTGGATCACCCTCTGGGTCCAGAGGGACTCCCAGCTCCTACAGAGGAACGTATTGAATTTTGTTTTCTTCCAAATGTTGAGCCCTGGCCAGTAAAAGCTTTGGTCTCCCCAAGAATCCTTGGAATGCTGTTCTGGAGTTTTGTCCGTTGAGCTGCTCAGCAGCCTCAAATCAATGAGTCAGTAAAGGGCAATCAAATGAACAGAAGATAATTTGTTTTAGAGAAGTTATAACTCGTTTTCTGAAGTTGAACTATTATATTCTGCCCCGCTTGCAAGGGACAGGGTGTTCTGGTCTGGTCTATATGGATTAGACACGTATAAATTGAATTAATAGCACTTTTTTATAGCTCAACAGTCCTGCTAAAGAAACCTTGTGAGTAAAGCAAACAAAAATGTATTAAGTTGTCTCAAATCAAACACCAGACGTTTCTCCAGCTACTTGTTGGCCCATTCCCAGCGTGCCAGGCCCAGAGTCACCCGAAGTTTGCACAAGAAGGGATCCAAAGACCTTTCTCATTTGTATCAGCACGAAAGAAAAATGCATGAAAGAGGAACATTATGGGCTGTGATTTCTGGAGGCATTTGGGTTATAACATATCATGTGGTCTGGCACATTCATCCCCAAAAAAGCTCATAAAAAAGGAGGAATCTCGCTGTTCCCCACTGCTATACTTGAAATGTTTTCTCTTAAATTTCCTTGCTACAGAAAAAGAAAGACTGATTCCTGAGCAAGGCTCTCCCCAAAGAAATCCTAATAAATAGACGTTGTTTGTCTCTGTGAGTGATTACTTATGGTAGAAATACAGGGAATCGAACCAGAAATCTTTTTAATATTATTCTTTGCTAAAAATTTTTTTTTTTTAAATGAAAATTTCTTATATGAGATGATATAAAACTGTGCTGCCTCCTGTTTGGTCTGTTCAGGTTCATCTTGCTGCTTCTCTAACAAGCAGTGTTAATTAGGTGTATAGAAATTTTATCTCATTGCCTTAAGATGGTTTCTTAGAAGATGAGTGATCCCATAGCAGATAAATGCTCGTAACCTAATTAATACCATTTAATACCTAAATATAAGGGGATGCACTTGCATGTCTTGAATATTCTGCTTAAAAGCTTCTTGCTATGTCTCTGCTCACTGAAATACCTGGAGGTAAATCCTTTGGAAATCTTAAACACTGTCCTATCTTTTAATATCAAAATTGCTGGTGTGGGGAGAGTGTGACTGGATTTTCATCTCCAAGAGAGATCTGGGGCTTCAGGGGAGGTGTGGGTGCCTTTGATGTCCTCTGGAGGGTGGGTTGAGGGGGTTGCTGGGTGCACAGAGGATTTTTGGGGCAAATAAGTAAGAAAAAAGTGTGAACAGCCTGAAAAGATGTGACTCCTCTGTAGGGTTCCTGAGCTGCAGCTCTGGAATCATCCCTCCAGAATAACCTGTTTGCTGGGCAGGTTTCTGCTCTCCCAGAACCTGCTTTAGTCTACTAAAGCAGATTCATATGCAATAGTTGGAGTTTAAACAAATCCCTGTATTCAGATGGGGGGGGAATCACATTGTTATTCCATGGCAAACCTCTGGGGTTCTTAAATCATTAAATGTGAGCAATTTGGGAAGTACATCAGCCTGGGAAGGGAACCGGATCATGCACGGACAGGATGTGTCCAATACCCTTTCTCCAAGGTCTCATTTCATTTGGCCTTTTTATTCTGCTTTTAGCTGGGAAGTTAAATCCACAAAGGTCATTTGAAAAGCTTCAGATTATAGATGGAAAGCCCTTTTAATCTTTTCTAATAAATAGCTGAGCAGGGAATAAATCTATTGGGAGCTGAGCTCTGATGTTAAGCCTCAGCACAAAATGCCCATACATGAGCAACACTTTGAAATTATCTCTGAACTTATAATTACCTTAAATAAATTTGACTTAGAAGAAAAGGTGTGTGATTATGAAAACTGGTTTAATAAATGAAGCATTAATTGGACCTGGTGGCTTGGCAGATTCTGTCACTGTGGTCCGGATGATTATGAAAGTGATTTAGGCACAACTGAAAACAGCAGTTTCAGTTCAGAGATTTCTTTAAATGGCAAAAATTACTCTCTCCAGTCAGTGCTTTGGTAAGGCAGGGTTGGAATAAAAGCTTTGCATAATAAAGACTTAAAAGCATTTTGATTTTGGAAAAGCAACAGCAGCAACGGTGTCTGAAATGCTGAAAATACTCTGGGTTCTGCCGGTGCTGTGTATGACATTATCTAGTCTGAGTAGCCTTCAAAGCATTTTCTCCCCTAATTCCACATATAATTAAAAAGCAGCTTCCTCTAGCTCATTAAAATGTAGAGTCCTGTTGGAGCAGTGTACTTGTATATTTATTTAAATGAACAAAGCACAGCTTTAATGCAGACTGTAATAACTTCAAACATTAAATCTCTTCTGTGCAGCTCACACTTTATTTTTAACCAGTGTTTAGTTTCTCTTCATGAACACCAGCTTGCAAAGGAACATGGTCCCCAGCAGCTCATTAGATTATTTTGTGAACCACTCAAGAAACTTTCCCCATCCCCTCTTTTTTGATGTGAAATGATAGGAAAATCCCCCAAGTCCAGTTGTGAGTGACGCCCATGGAAATCAGGCAAGGCGGTGGCTTTTCCAGCATAACGATGGCATCTCCCTCTTTTCACAGGCATTTGGAAATGCAAAAACAGCCCATAACAACAACTCCAGTCGCTTTGGCAAATTCATCCAAGTGAATTACCAGGAGACAGGCACTGTGCGAGGGTAAGTGGGAACAGGGGGAGGGTGCTGGGTGTACCCAAACCTAAACAGGCTGCAGTAGGGTGCTACTTGCTTTGGTAATATTTTTCCCAAAATGGAGATAGGAAATAAAAATTCATAGGTTTTAGCTTATTAAAATCTGGTGGTATGGAAATATTGGTGCATCCAAGGTGAGTGCTGAGATGTGGATACACCTGAGCTGCCTTCAAGCCGGCTGAGCTCTCCATAATCCTGATGTCAAATTTTTAATGAACCTGAAAAGCAGCGTCTCCTCCTCAGACAGGAGTTAAGGCAGAAAAGGGGAATGTTTTAGCTGGGATGGGGTACAGGCTGAGCAGTAGATGGGGAGTGAAAGGTTTGGCTCAGGCTCAGGAGCCAAGGGGAGGATTTAATCTCTGTCTGGGAGTTCTGAAGGCCATTGAGCCACACTCTTCTTGCTGTCTTGCCCCCAGGCTCTCCCTGCAAGTCTCTCCTTAATTCAGCCCTTGACCAGGGAAAGCCTCTTCTTCCTCCCAGGTCTCCACTGTGGTTCTCCTCAGTTTATTTCAGCTTTGAAAATTTGAGAGCAGACCTGAGGAGAAGAATTTTGGGGTGATGATTGATGAGAAGCTCATGGACGTGTGCACTGGGGACCTAGAAAGCCCCCATGGCCTGGGCTGATCCCTCAGCATGGGCAGCAGGAAAAGGAAGATGTTGCCCCTCTGCCCTGTTCAGGTGAGACCCCCACCTGCAGAGCTGCCTCAGCCCTGGGGTCCCAGCACAGGGAGGACGTGGAGCTGCTGGAGAGAGCCCAGAGGAGGTGGAGCCCCTCTGCTCTGGAGCCAGGCTGGGAGAGCTGGGGGTGCTCACCTGGACAAGAGAAGGCTCCAGGGAGAGCTCAGAGCCCCTGCCAGGGCCTGAAGGGGCTCCAGGAGAGCTGGAGAGGGACTTTGGAGTGACAGGACATGGGGCAATGGTTTTCCACTGCCAGAGGGAAAGTGGGATATCCCCAAATGGGGTTTTGGGAAGGAATTCTTGGCTGTGAGGGTGGGGAGACCCTGGCACATGTTGCCCAGGGCAGCTGTGGATTCCCCATCCCTGGAAGTGTTCCAGGCCATGCTGGTCACGGCTTGGAGCAGCCTGGGCTAGTGGAAGGTGTCCCTGCCCATGGCAGGGATGGAACTACCTAAACCAAACTTTCTCCCTGGCTTCAGATAATTTCCATGGCATCAGATCATCACTAAGGAGCTGTAATGAGCAGTGCTTTGTTAACTCCTCTTAACTCAAACTAACTGAGTCATTTGGAAAAATGAGGAGTAGAAGCATTTCAGGGGGCTGTATAATTTCTGCAGCTGGCTAAGAGACCTCTTGCTGGGACTTTGTTGTTATTTTAGAGAATTGCTTTTCAAATTTTTTGCTTTCTTTTTTTTCAGCAGAACAGTATCACACAAAGAGCTGCCATTAATTTTTCAGCAAGCTTGGGTACCCCATGTCCTTTCCCACTGGTTTTGCATCCCACATCAAACCTGATGCTCTTTTTTCCCTCTTATTTAATTCTGCTGCACAGTTCTCTTAAAAGGATAAACGTGATTTTTTTTTAATACCTCCTGAGTAACAAGAATCCAACAAATGCCTTAACTATGTATTATCTTGGCATGATGCAGCAGCACTGTGGTTGTGGCCTCTATTTTTATTTGGCAGAGATATGCAAATAACATTATATTCCTGTATTCTAGTTCATAAAATAGGAGGAGTTTGCTTTTAAAAAAATTAGCTTTCTTGGGCTTTGGTTGCACAGTGTGCTGTGACTGTACTCTGCTGTGTGCTAGCAGTGCTCCCCCAGTGAAAAGAAAAGATGTTTAAAGAAAAATATATGCATTTTAAAAACAAAAAGTATATGTGACATGCAAGCCCGTTTGTTTTTTTTCCTGTGAAAGAAGATCTTTGTAAAAACTTAGCAAATTTTTTTTTAGCACAACCCAAATCAATTATCACCCTGTGTTCTGCATATCAGCAGCTTTGGTATGGAACTATAAATTGCAGCCCCTAATCAGAGTTTTCCTCTCTTCAGAGGTTGAAAATAACATTTGAAAATTTGCTTACAACCTCTCTGACTATAATCACCCAAAACGTGAAGAGATGGAACAGGCAGGAGTTTGAGCAGGGCCCAGCCCCACCCTGTAAGATGAAGTTTTGGATGGTCTCAGATTGATGGAGTGCTGCAGTTCAGTGAATTCCCAGGAGGCTTCCTGAATTTTGGATGTACTAATCCATGATAAGCCAGGCCTGGAGGAAGGTCTTTGCAACCTGCTCAGTCCCCATGAGATGATCAAAAGCCTTGACACCTGACATGAGCCATGAAATGGCAGAAGAGCCAGATGGGAGAGGCTTTAGAGCCAGCTAGGAGGGGTTTAAATCAAAGCCCTGTGAAATACAGGCTCTCTGTATTTAAATCAGTGTTTTACACAAGATCATTCCCTTAGAGCTCCTTTTCTTTGCTCTTAAAGAGCAAAGAAAAGGTCAAACTGATAGCTGACAATGGTAAATAAAAATAAATTTGGAGACATCAACTATTGAAGACATAAGCTGGTTCTCCTACTCACTATCCTGTTACAAGAAGGAACAGATGTTGTTCTTGGGACCTGGATTCATTGTGACCTTTGCACTAAACAAGGGAGCATTTTATCAAAGTAGCATTGTAATTGCATCTATTTAAAAAATTAGAATAAAATTGAAAATAAAATTTAAAATATATAAACTTTCTACAATAGAATTTATAAAGTAAAATGAAAATTTTAAAATAGTAAATAAATGAATAAATGAAATTCCCCTGTGTTTGGGACCAGATGACCTCCAGAAGACCTTTCCAATCTAAATTATTGCCTAAGAATGATTTTTGGGGTGGTTTATAATAAGAGCAGAAATTATAGGGGTGGGGAGGAATGCCAAGGGCATGGACATGTTGCAGGTTGTTGTACAGGAGTGTCTGAGCCATTATCCAGTGGGATCTCATCAGTGGGATCTGGGATGCTCTCATTACTGTGTTCCCTGACCCTGCCATGAATTCATGGCTTGGGAAGGAAAAATTTGGCTCAGGTTAGAAAGGGAACATAAAAACCCCATCAACCTGTGGGTAAGGAAAATCCATACATAGACTGTTCCCAGTTTCCTCCCAGGGAATAAACAGGAATACAGCTTTGCTGTCTCTCTTCCTTTACTCCTCCTGTCCAGCAAGGTCATCCAGCAGGGAGTTGGATTTGCCACTTCCAGTAGCCTCTCCCAAGAGCTGCCATAAGAATGTTCACAAAACCTTGCAGCATGTCCTAATGATTTATATTTTAGTTTTTACGGAAGGAAGGGAGAAAGTTGTGCTGGAGGTCATAATTAGATCTGGCTTTCCCAGGAAAAGTATAGTGAAGGAAAGCACCTCCTTGTCCCACCATGCCTGAGGTTCATTGGGTTTCCTAATTCCTCCATAGCTCCGACCGTGGGAGCCACGTCACTGGGCATCTGTCACCAGAAAAGCACAGCTCCACCATCCAAACTGCCACCTAGAACTCTGGCTTCCAAATCCCTGTCATTACTGGTTAGGTTTGTTTGGAAGAAAAAAAACTGTGGAAGCTTTGTTTAACTTGACAAACCTGAAAAAAGTATTTAATATGTAGATTGAGCGTGTTTGTTGTGGAGGCTCTTAGGAGAAAATGTAAACTGCAATGAGGAGCTTTCGCAATTGTTTATTTTTTTTGACTGGAGCCAGAAGTTAATAACCCAAATTTTTGGTGAGAAGTGGCTCTTCTGGAAGAGGGAATGGGGATTTGGGGACTGATTCTGCAGCTAAATGGCATCTTGCACGCTTCTGCTCACAGATGTATTTCCATGTGCACGGCTCCTGGGCTGCAGGCAATGGGATTTTGCTGGCTTTGGATGAAATAGGGATCCGAGCTCCTTCCTTGCAGACAGCATTTCTCTTGCCCATAGGCTGACGCATCTGAGATCATGTTTTTCAGATCCAAGTTAGTTTTGGCTTGGTATCAAACCAAAAAAACCTCAAAAGCCAAACATAATATTTGGCTTGTTCTGCTGAGGAAGAAATTTATATAACTAAGTGAAACAAGGCTGAAACTTCTTTGTGTGGGTACAAGGCTGAAGCCCCTGGTAAAGCTGTGTTCGTTGAAGCTGAGTATCAGGTCAGTGAATGATGCTTTGATTTTTCTCTTGCAGAGCTTATGTTGAAAAATACCTCCTGGAGAAGTCCCGACTGGTCTATCAGGAGCACAACGAGCGGTGGGTGCCTCTGCTTTGCCCAGGGCTTGGGTTTAACTCCTATATGTGGCACAGATAACTTAAATCCCTGGTGGAGCTGGCACAGGGGATCAGGATTTTCATACTCTTAACCCTGTGCTGCAGAGATTAATGATGCATTTTATATTTGAATATTTTGTTGTTTAGGAAGAAATCTGCTAATGGAAGGAATAAACTCCATTATTTTATGAAAAGTCTTTGGCTTACCATGAAATCATAGAATAGGTTGTATTGGAAAGGGACCCTTAAAGATTATCTTGTTCCAACCCCTGCTATGAGCAGGGGACCTCCCACTACAATATTGTTACATTTAATTTAATTTTAATTTTCTTTATGGCAGATAGATTATTGTGTACCCCTTCATTCTTGTGCAACTTGTGAACTGCTTAATGTGTCATTTTAGGAGAGAAACATGGTATTTTCATTCTTCTTTGCAGTTCACTGAAGCCTTCACAGGGCCTCTAGAAAGAGCCAAAATTATATAGAGAATGAACTTATGTGAAGTGTGTTCTTTCCTAATTTGATGCATAGCCTTTGTTGCATATTCCTCTCCTCTCTCAGTAATTATTATTCCACTTTTAAATATATTTGCTGCCTTTAGTTGCCTTTCAACTGTTGGCACTTCTGGCTGTATTTCCCTTTGGAGACAGATGTGTGAGTTTTCTGGAATGCTCCAGGGCTGTTCCTGGAGTTAAAGAGCATCTACAGCCTTGACAAACGTCCTCTTGGGTGTTGCAAGATGATTAAACTTGGATCCTCTTGGAAAACATCCAACATAAAAGCACAGCTTTAATTTTAGAAAGAAATGGCGTTAATCTGTGTTAGAGTCGTCTGGAAGCAGAACAGATGAGTGTCCCTTGGGGTGGGTTTAGCATTAGTGATATTCAGGTATTTTGAATATTTGAATTTTTGAATATTTGAAGATTTTTCAGTTGTGTCTCATGGAACAGCAACTGCAAAGTTGCTGCCTTTTTAATGGTAATAAGGTATGAAAACTCATAATTTCTGCATTGCAAGGAAATAAATTCTAAAAAAAGAGGTCAGGCTCTAATAAAGGAGCTGGGGACAGTCAGGGAACGAGGTACAGGACAAGGGGAAACGCCTTCAAGCTGTGTCAGGGGAGGCTCAGGTTGCACACCAGGAGGAATTTCTTCATGGAAAGGGTTGTCAGGCATTGGAAGGGGCTGCCCAGGGATGTTTGGAGTCTCCATCCCTGGAGATGTCCAAGGAATTCCTAGACATGGTGCTCAGTGCTCTGGGCTGGGAACAAGGTGGGATTTGGGCACAGGTTGGACTCAATGCTCTGGGAGGTCTTTTGCCACCTAAATGATTATGGGATTCTGTGAAATATGTGGGCATTGCACTTGGTTCTAAAGGAAAACCTGAGCATCCCAGCTAGAAATTCTTCAAGTAGATTCTAGGGCAGTGGCTGTCCTTGGATGGAGAAGAGGGATCTCATTCTCCGTGACATAATTGAATCTGTTCCATCCCTGCACAGCAGGTACAGACCAGCTCTAAACGGTGTCAGGCCTGAGCTTGGGAGCTGGAAAATCAGGTTGGGAGGTTTCAATGTGCCTCTGCTCAGTGCTGCTGTTCATTTTCGAGTCTAACAGCTTTTGTTTTTCATTTGTCACCAGGAACTACCATGTATTTTATTACCTCCTGGCAGGAGCGAGCGAGGAGGAGAGATCAGCGTTTCACCTGAAGCAGCCGGAGGAATATCATTACCTTAACCAGGTGGGAGTCCTATACAGGAATACAATCCTTGGTGTGGCCTTTTCTTCTGCTGATATCTAATGCTAATAAAGAAGAGATGTGGAGTAGTAAAAGTGGGGGTTTTTAAAGGTGTGGGGTAGTAAAAGTTGGTTTTAATGGTTTATGGGAAGTCTTCCATCATTGGAATAATTCTGCATTAGCAATGTGAACACCTGGTAGTGTTTCAGGTAAAAAATAATCAGCGTTTTCTGTACCTGGGATATGTTAAATGTATTGAGTTTTTGATTGCTGGAGGGAGAAACAGTCAGAATTTCCTGCTCTCTGTGTGAATGCCATTTACTCATTAATAACTGACTCCTGAGCAGAAGAGGGGAAGATGTGGCATACTGAGATATAACATCTTGCATGAGGAAGTCCTAATTCTGTAGCTTCTGGCTGGCTTTTAGCAAGACCCTCTGAATTTAACAATAGAACAAGTCTAATATAACTAAAACCACAGCAGCCATTGAAAACCTGGGAATTAATGATGGATGAGGTGTTAACCAACAGCCAAATAAACTCAGTTTACATGATGATAATTTTATAATAAACTGATTTACTTGAGGTATTTAGGCAGTTATCCAGTGACTCTTGCAAGCAGGGACTTCAAAAAGACCAAAAAGAGGAGGAATATGTGGAAGAGGAGTTAAGTTACATGTTGATTTTAACTAATTGCAATTTTCTTGGTGCTGAAACATGCGGAGCAATAAAGAATGATTTAACCCCTAAGCTGGAAAGAAACTTGGACCCACAGCCCAACCCAAATAACCTTTAGTCTTTATAGAAATATAACTTCATTCAGGAATAGCTCTCAATTACCAGGGACTTTTTAAGGATGTTTTTAAAGCAAGCAATCAACACCAAAATCCATTGTATATTAATGACTCCCACACACCCATGGCAGGATTGGGAAATGTTCCCAAGTGAGGAACACTCTGAGGGCTGGGGGCTCTTTGCTGGAGTCTCTGTGCCTCAGGCGTTGGTTGGAGAACGTGGTGTGATCTCCAGCACCATCTGTGCCACGGTTTTGCAGTGGGACAATGCCAAGATGGAATGTTTTGTTGGATTCTCAGGTTTTGTTGGGCCATCCAGTCACTTTCTGTTAGTTGAAAACATTGCTTTTAATTACAGTCCTTTTCTTTTACATAGCAGTTTAAGAGCATTTATATTTAAAGGAAAATTAGTAATCTAACGGCACGTAGTGTAAGGAACCAGTAGGAATAGTACAATTTAGGGTGAAATGTTTATTTTAACCAAAATTAAGGTGCTGTGGGGCAAGTAAGCTGGAGAAAGCTGCTAAGATCAGTCCAATGGATCAGGGAAGCAGACTCTGGACTTCTCTGAACACAGTGTTTGGACAGCAGTGACACTCTGAGTTTTTGGGAGGTTTTAAAATAATTTTTAGTAATTAGGACTAGAGTTAACACTGACAACTGTGGAAAAACAGCACCTTTAGATGTGGTCTGGGCATGGTTTCACATGAAGACCATCTGACAGTGCAGTAGCAGCTATTCCCTGCCCTGCAGGAGAAACAAAAAGGAAAATAAGGAGAAAAAGGAAAAAAGAGATAGTGGAGAAATGGAAAAAGAAACCTGGGAAACATTTAAGAAAAAAATGATAAAATGACCCTTGAACATTTGCAATCTCTTCTTAAGTGTGTCCTGGAGAAGACCCTTCATTTTAAAAGGGAAAAGAACCAGCTCAGACATGAAGTGTTTTACTGAAAATTAAATATTCATATAGAGAAGCCATAAAATATTGAACCAGGCCCCTGAAGTGAAGGAGTGACTCAGTCCTGAGTCAGGCTTTACTTTCCTCCTCCCAGGTTCCTCTGCTCTTCTTGTGTTATGCAAAGTAAAAGGGGAGTTTGCTTTGCAGATGAGAAATAATCTATTAAGATACTTAACCAAAATCTGCTCTGTAAATGCAGGGAGCAGGTTGAAAATAAAGATTTCAATTTATTTTAAAATGCAAATTTACTCAAAGTATCCCCCGAGTATGGGGATAAGTGTTTCCACCTCTTCCTCAGTGGCAGGTGTACCCACTCCTGCGCACCCTGCAGCTCGCTGAATATTTTCTGTGCTGGTTATTAACTTTTATCCATTTTGAAAACAGCCATTTGCAGGTTTAGATCCTTATTTTCAGCTCCTCAGGAGCTCCAGTGCTATCCCTCTCCCTCTTAGGACTGGTAATGCTTTGTCTTCTCTCAACTCTCTCTCTGTCTGATTGGAAAAAGACACAAATTCCTAAAAAGCTTTGGAGTGTTGCTTGGAAGAATCTCACTTTTGCTGCACTTGTGTTTGTCTGGAGCAGAGGTTGAGAGTAGGAACAAACCAAATCTGTTCTTCAGTGAGATTTTGGCATCAGTGGCTCTTCAGCTCCAAGTAAACCAAGGGTTTCCTCAACTCTTAAGAAGAACATATTTTAGTATATCCATTAGGATTATTGATGAGAGGGCCTCGCTCGATGAGATGCACTGTGAGCAGGAACCAGCACCAGGAATGCAAAAGCATCATGCATCTCCCCTTAAAACAAATAAAACTAGGGAATGACTGCAGGATATCAATAATTTTCCTCCTTAGGGAGCAGGTGGTCAGGGTGATTTGGGGTGGGAACACCACTTAACCCACTCTGCCTTGCTTTCAGATGACAAAGAAACCCCTCAGAGAGAGCTGGGATGATTATTGCTATGACTCGGAGCCGGTCAGTACAAGAACCCGCCTCTTCGGTGTTGCTGGTGCAGGGCTGCTCTCACTTGAGTGTTTTAGGGACACAAAGAAAGCCAAATCCAATGAAGTTTAACCCATTAACCACCCTTTGCCCTGCAGTGGTGTTGCTTGTGACAGTACAGATTTTTTTTTTTCCCCTTGCCCTTTTATGGTTCCTTCCATTTGGAAAGCTTCTGCAGCAGTTGGAGATGGTCATGTCTCCACAGCCCTCTCAGTTTTAGAAAAGTAAGGGGGTTTTCATTCCTTCCTGATGGAATACGTGATGGTGTATGGAAATTGTGATGTGACAGCAATGTGAAAATTGAAATTCCATTCCAATAAAACAGCAAATCAGGGTCTTGAAGCCCCAAGAGATGCATCAGTTCATGCTGGTTGTAGTGGTGTATCTGCTCTCCAGCTTCCAGGAAAAAACAGACAAACCCAAAAACATCCCCCCAGCCATCTGTGACAAAATCAAATCCTGATATTGTTCAGAATGCAGAAACAATTCCTTCTCCAAAAATACTTCTGCTGACATGATCATCCTTTCCAAATGGTTTGTCCCAAAAAAGGGAATGGTGAAACTTCTCCCCCTTCCCCGGCTTCTCCTGCTCTGGGTGTCTGTGTGTCCCATGGTGCTCCCCGTCGGTGTGTCCTGCATGTGGAAGCATGTTTGGCATCAGCTGCTTGTCCTTCCTGCAAGTTTTCTGTGTGCTTGATGATTGCCAAAGTCTTGCTGATGCATCTGGAAGAGTAAGAGGTGATCTGGGAAAGAGCTGGGATTCACTCGGGCTAAACAAGTGTCTTAACAGCAACATTTCCCTGCAGATCCTTAGGAGAGGAGGAGGGAATTTCCCTCACAAGGTTAAAAATATTGAATATTGGATTGGCATCCTTAATCCATCAGCATCCATAGGGGCCCTGCAGGAGCAGGGAGTGATGAGCAGATGCTGTTCTAGACCTTAATACCCTTTTATAAGTTGGAAAGCCCTTAATTGCTTTAGGAATGGGTTGGGACAATTTGCTGAAGGAATTAAAATTAAAACAACCCCAAAATTTCGTACCTTCTCCTGGCATGACCAAGAACACCCTGCCAGCCTGGGGACTGCCATGTCTGTGCCCTTATTCTGTGCAACAAAACCATGTGTTATTACCATTTGGCTGTTTATTTGCTGATTTATTTAGGATAATTTTATTTGGGATCATTTTCTGTGACAGTCCTGTTTGCTTCAGTTGATTGTTCACTCTTAAGCCTACCCTGGTCTTCTCCCCATACCCATGGACTCAACCTGCTGCAGACACCAAGTTTATAAAGGAACTCTGTTTTATCCTCTTTAAATTTTCCATGGAAATCCATGGATTGCTTCGATGTGACTGTAGGAAGCAGGGGACTCACTTTTGCTGGGAAACTAATTGCTCTGGCAGGATATTAACAGCAAGTTAGGTCTGTGGGGATGGACTTTGTGATGCTTGTCTGCTCTAATATCAAGGACACTCCTCTATTTTATAATTATCCTTCATTTATCATCCATTAGGAAGCGGTTCCGTGCTGGAACACTGCAGAGAGCATCCGCTTTTAAGCAGAGAATTTGCTAAAAGTCTTTCCATGCGGATTAATGAGTCGGGCAATTGTTATGTAAATCGTTAATTAAATTGCCTTCGGCGTAGATTGTGCTGCTTCGGAGTCGTCCGGGGTATTTTGCTGTTGACTCGTGACTTAATTTTGGAGGAATGATGCCAGAAAATGAAAATGTCTCCTGGAATGTGGAGTGCCACTAAAAGCACCACTTGGTGTCTTTAAAAAAAGCCTTAAAGCTGCCTAATTTGCTGGATTTGTGGGTGTGTTGTTGTCCTGCCAAGTCCAGGTCGTGCCAGAAGGAGGGTGGGAAGTTCTGCTGAGTTCTCAGTGCAAGAGCAGTGGCTGAGGAAGGCAGGCTTGGAGCTTAGGAGGGACAAGGTCTTGCCCTGAGGTTTTATGGTGAATAATCAGTGCTGGTGCCTTTGGTGTCCCTGCTCTTGGTGATGTCGTTGTTGTGTCCCTTTAGGTGGCTCTGGAGCAAGGTTGTTTCTGATTAGCTCCTAATGGAAGGTGAAAATGCGCTTTTCTAATAACTGTTTCCTAAAACAGGCTGGTATTTTCTCCTGGAATTTCAATCCCTGCCTTCATTGATGCTCTGCATGGTTTTAAGTGATTTTACTGTTCAACAGCTCCAAATTCACTTTGCCCATGGAGCATTAACTTGTCCCTGAGGACAATTGATAAAAAAATTTCGATTTTCTTGTCCAATTGCACTTCTTTGGCTTTTAGTGCAGTTGTGTGGATGTCTCCTATGTTGCAATAAATATTTTAAATATGTAAACAATATAATAAATAATAATATAAACATTTAAATATAGAAATAATATAGATAAATATATATCTTAAATAAGGGTTTTCCACTCTAATTGTAACTATGCCTGTAATGATTCTCTGGAGTGGGATGAAGAACTTCGTTGATATGGTTGTGAAGCTTTAAATGCTGTAAACCACAAAGCTGATATATTATAAAATAACTTCATTCTGTATATTCTGTATTTATGCTTAATCTTCTGTAATATCAGTGAGTACAAGTGGCTTTTCAATGATTTACATAACCCTATTTAATACAGTCTTTCCTAATTATTTGTGCAAATTTTTTTGCAGATTTGCTTGTGTGATAAATATGATGTTCAGGAAATTATGAAAATAAATTATGTGCATTCAGCTGCTTAATTAATTCCAACTGCAGCTACAATTTTTATTTGTATTATTTTAATAAACTTTTAATAGACTTTTATAGAATTTTTATTTCTATTTACTTACACTTGGATTAACTTGTTGAAACTCTCTAATTACTTGTAGAAAGTCTTGATTTAAGTGTTAATAAAATAGTCTGAGGTTTAAAATAGCATAATATTGTGTGATACACAATAAATTAATTTTGATTTATAGATGGGTAGTTTTTATAGGCAGCAATGGGTAGAATATTAAATATAAGCTAGGAAGGCAGAGAGAAGAATAAATAATCCATGGAAGGCCTACAGTTAGCCAAAGCAGAAGATATTTGGCCATATTAATGGTTTATATATTAATTTAAAGAGCATTTATGTTTCTTAAATATTGGTGCAGGACAACTTTGTTTGGATCTGGAGTGTCACTGGATTTTTCCAAACACGTCAGTGACTGATATCAAGCAAAAACAAAACTGTTCAGGCACGTGAGCCTCCAAGAAGTATAAAATATCCTGGATCTCAGATTCTCCCAATTTTGTAATAACTTCTACGTGTTTCAAATAAAGTTTCTGAGAAATATATTTTAAGATTTGCCTTTCCCACACAGGATTTAATGCACTGATCATTTACATGAAGTTATCTGAATTCTATTTAAAAACTGAATTTCCCTCCTTAGGTATAGGGCTGAATGTAGAATGAACTGCCTGTAAATGTAGAACAGATTTCGTCTTGTTGTTATTTCCCATCCTTTTTGCGTAGGGTCACACTGACCAACTCTCACATACTGTTGGAATGAGGTGGCTCACCTCTTTCCTTAGAGGTTAAACCTGGGAAACGAGGATATATCTCCAGAAAATATTAGCCAGAAATGTTGTATTTCCAGTGCCAGGTTGGAAATGTTGCTGATAAAAGACCTGGAGATCACTCAGTGATATTTACAGAGCGCTGACTTGGCCATCTGGACCTGATGTGGTGTTAATTGTGTCAGTGCTTCCTCTGTGTGTTTGATCCAACAGGATTGTTTCTCCGTGGAAGGGGAGGACCTGAAGCACGACTTTGAGCGGCTGCAACTCGCCATGGAGATGGTGGGGTTTCTGCCCAAGACACGCAGACAGTGAGTTTATTTTCCATTTTAATAGCTTGGAGATCATCCTGGTTAATGCCACCTCCACTGGCAGGACATTGTCCAGAGATGCTGTGGCTGCCCCATCCCTGGAGGTGTCCCAGGCCAGGTTGGACAGGGCTTGGAACAACCTGGGATAGTGGAAGGTGTCCCTGCCATGGCAGGATGGAGCCAGATGAGTTTAAGTCCCTTCCAACCCAAACCATTCTGTGATTCCATGATCATTGCTGTACTGAATAATTCTCTTCATGCAAATGGAGCGTTGGCAGGAGTTGACATCTTGAAGTATTTCTCAAGTGTTCGTGAATAATCACGCCTCACTCTGCATGTCATGAATCCAGAGCTTGGTTTAATCAGAAGTCCTCATTATCCCTCATGAAACTTAACCCTTTGTGTGCAATTCTAGGTCTGTAGATGCATTTCCAACTGGCCTTTTTCACTAATGCACTGGACATGCTGGTTTGAAAACTGGACTTTAGCTGGGTTGCAACACCACTGTCACCATGGAATTAGAGGGTTCCTAAGGGTCATCTCCAACCAAACCTACAAAATAATCTCTCCTGTGTTGATTTTTGGCTTGAAAGGCTTGAGTAAGTTGGGAAGAACTTGACAAAAAAAATTACTTCAAAGATATTTTCACACAGCTGAGAAATTTTGAGAGCTCGTTCTTTATCCCTCACTTGTAACAAATCAATTATGAAATTAAAACTGATTTTTCTCTAACTTCCCCACACACGTGGATAAACCCAAGGATCCAGACTTGTGTGAATGTGTTCTGTGTCAGGGGCTGCTTTATCAGGCTTCAGGACAAGGTTTGTCTAAAGCCTGTTGAGGGGTTTAATTGCCTGAGCAAAGCAATCAAGAAGTGTCAGGACTGAGCAAAGTCGGGTGATGCAGTAAATTCTCACTTCTGATTTACTGTGCAATGATTTTTCTTGGCACACAAGTTTCTCCTGGTGAATTTTGCATGTCAAAAATAAAGTGGATTCTTCACTACACGAGCAGATTTATTTTGCTTGGCGTTATACAACTGCAGTACAAATAAGAACCACCTTCAGCTGAGATACAGGGAGTATGTTTTAAATACTACTCTACTTTTAAAAGTAATTTCTTTATAGCAAAATATGGGGTTTCACCTTTGTGGAAACAGCAAAGAGAAATTTTTATAAAATTGCATCCTGAAATTCACAACAAGGAGTCAGTATCCCTGTTTTGGAGATAAGGGAGGATTTGGAGAGGTGAAGGTGTGCTGTCCAGACAAGCTGGTGGCATAGCTAGGAATCACGTTTGGGTTTATTCATTTTTAGCTCCCAATGGAGTGTAGAATTAGGGACAAACAGGATTTATAGCTGAAGTCAGACATGACTTAGGAGTTGGGCTTGATGAACCTTGTGGATGCCTTCTAACTCAGGATATGCTTTGAGTGTCTGATCCTATTTTTTTTTAGAGGGGAGATAACTTAAAAATGACCAAATTCCCTTCAAAACAGAAAAATTGGTTGGATAAATTTCTTTGAAGTTTAACATCTTTTCTTTGTTTCAGTTGCTTAGATATTATAAAAGCATTTATGCTGTTTTGTACAGTCTTTTGTTCCTGGCTGGGACTAGATCCAAAAAGGTGACAAAAAAATGTGACCCAGGAGAGTAAGAGGGATCACCTGCATGGCCACACCCACTCTACCCTTTAATTTAGGAAATTGCATGATAAATAATTAATCTAGATACCAAGATTACTGGAGGATTTCTATTTTTCTTACAACACGGACTGTAATTTTGTAACTGGGGATTTGATGTGTTAAAGAATTTTCAAGGCAACTGTATGGATGCAAGTTTGGTACTTGACTAAATGAAAATCTTTTTGACATGAGGCAAAGTGGATTCTTTGCATTGAAAATTAGAAGAATGAGCCAAAGAGGGTCATGGCCCTTGGGGGTGAAATTTGCTACTTCATTCACTTTATGGAAAACTGAGTGAAAATGAATTGTCTCTATTTAGGATTTTCTCTCTGCTGTCGGCGATCCTGCATCTGGGGAACATCCGGTACAAAAAGAAGACCTACAGGGATGACTCCATCGATATCTGCAACCCTGAAATACTTCCTGTTGTGTCAGAGCTGCTGGAGGTAAGGCTCTGCTTTCCCTCCTGAAACTTTCACACCAAACAAGCCACCTCTGATACAGGACACAAAACAGGTGCAATTTATTTCCAGTTTTACTAAAGAGTAAGCTTGTCACCATCATATTTTGTGAAAAATCTCTTTGCCCAGGATTCTTCTCCTGGGAAGCTGAGAAGCCTCAGAGAAAAATGAAAATAATAATTATCTGATTTGGTTCTCCTGTGTTTTGCTGCTTTGGAATGTGTTTGGACAGTGTTTACCAACTAGTGATTGTTTCACTGGTTTTATGTGAATTGTTTTTGACTTATTAGCCAATTACAGCCAAGCTGCGTCAGACTCTGGAAAGAGTCACGAGTTGCATTTAGTATCTTTCTAGCCTTCTGTCTGTATCCTTTCTGTATTCTTTAGTATAGTTTAATACAGTTTTAGTATAGTATTCTTTAATATAATATAGTTTATTCAATAATAAATTAGCCTTCTAAGAGCATGGAGTCAGATTCATCATTTCCTCGCCTTCGCTGGGGGCACACAAATACAAGTTTTTGTATGTTTCCATTCTTATGGGCTGTTCATGTTTGCCAGGGAAAAGGTAAGGAACTTCTTTTAAAAGGTTTTTCATGGAAGGATTTTGCCCCTACTCTTCAGCTTCAGGTTTCATTGACTGAAAATCCTCTTTCTGTGATTAAATGTGTAAGGTTGCAGGGTCTAGATGCCAAGCAATCCTGCTGTCCAACATGGCATTGTCTTCAACTGCCAGCCATCAGCTGGTGCTCCTCAAATCTGTCCCAAAGTCTGTCTGAGGAACTCAAGCAGTTGTACAACCATAGCCCCATGTTTTTGTTCTGTGCTGGCTGTAGGAGGTGCTGAGCTTCCTCGCTGTGTTTTTTTTCTGTTACTACCTGCCAGATTCCACAAGGGAATATGTAGGCCCATCTCACCCCTCTAGTCCCTATTTATGGGCCTGTTATGGAGTTCTTTGGTGCATCTATTGATTATCTGCTGTTTAGGACCTGATACCTTGGCCTCTGTGAGCCTCTGTTGTGCTGGTGTCCCTTGGGAAGGGTTTGTAGGACTCCACCTGGCTGGCCCAGGCCTCGGCCAGTAAATCAGTGCAAAAGCATTAAATGAGTTCTTAGGAGATCTGCTCTGTCAGCCCAAGCAGGTTACGAAGCTGTGGTACTTCTTTTCTTGAGAAAAGTCTTGAATGAGCCAACTTGTCCTACTAACCTTCAGGAGCTGAGCTCAAAAACCTCCTGACATAGATTGAGGTGGCCAGAATCTCCCCTTGCTGCACTTGAAATGCTCTAAACCTCTTGCAACTGAACTGTTTTTCTTGTAATTGATTATAGCAACAATTATCTTTACTCTTTTGTACTCCCTGGATGGTCTGGAAAATGAATTTGTGCTGATTTTATGGTGGAATCAGAACGCAACTTGTTCTTTTGTGTTACACATGGTGCTCTTCCCATTAATTCCATTAAATAACTGTTGTGTTATCTCCCTACCTACAGAACTTGGGAATTGGCTCTCAGGGATTTTCATAGCACTTCATTAATACTTTGAATTTAGGGAGGGGAAAGCTTCTGTAAAATATGTTTTGAGCAGCTGGATGCTCTTTGTATCTTGGCATTGGAAATTGCAGAAATAAACAGAAGGAAAATATAAGTGGGGAGCAGAATGTTGTTGATTTTACCATGTTAAATGTGGCCAAGTCAGTTAAGTAATTGTTTTTTAAAAAAGTTTTGAGTAAGAGAGTGACTTAGAGAGCTGAAAAAGTTCCAGGCTTTGGGTCTTTGCCTTTGCAAACAAACCCTTTTGCAACATCTGCATGTGGGGAGGTCGTGGGGTGGTTTTCATACATGATTATGTGAAATGAAGCATTGGCTGAGCCATGTCAATCCAACGGTGCCTTAATGCCCTGAGCTGGAACAGCACCCCCAGGTAGTGTCAACAAGATGTAAAAATCAATAAATGGATTTGTTTTTCACCATTAAAAAAAAAACCAACCCTAACCACGGAGATCTGATGTATCTATCTGAGCAAACTGATAGATTTCTGGTCATCTTAGTAATTCTTTTTGCAAATTAAATGACCATCTAAACATAAAATGCTTGTTAATTAGATTGGGACAATGCTTGCTGCATTGAGGTAGGATCTGATGAAATGCATCACTGAGTTTGGGAAGTGATGTTGTTTGTCCCTTAAGTTGCATTTAGGTGAGAATTGATCCAAGGAACTGGAAGCATTTGCTGCCTGCAATAGGCCTTTCAATAGACCCACTGAAATCAGCTGAAATAAAGCAAATAATCTCATTTTCAGACTTGATTTATCTTTATGAAATGCCACATTTCGCTTTGCAGACCTCAACAGATGTTGCTGCTTATTCAGGTTTGACCCAAAGGAACAACCAAAGGTTTCAAACAGATGATGCATCATTACAAAGAGCAGCCACAACTCCTTATTCATTACAGCTTTCCACATTAAGTGCAATGAGTTCTACTCAGCCAGAGATTTAAAATACTGGTTAAAACATTTGACACTTAGTATTTTGTCTCATTTGGGTAATTACTTTATTACATTCTTTTTTTCTTTGTGGTCACTGAACAGTTTTGCTTTTCCCATTGTTGCTGAAATTATGAATTGGCTTGAAGAAGTTGTTAATCCCCTCTCCAATCTTGGCATTAGACACTAATAACTGAAAAATCATCTCAGAATAAAAGTAATATGAGTTGACAGAGAGCTGAACTTCCTTTCCTGTGGTCACTGGCTGTTTGGTGGTACTGACTGGAGCACAGCAAAGGGATGGAAGAAACTGTGATCTGATACTTCCTTATCCTGGGGCAACTTCTGGGTTGATCTTTATACTGAAATGACTCATTGGATTTTTCAGTCAAGAATTTGACACAGAAAAGAGAAGGAAAAAATCCAACTGGAGCTGCATTGGCCATCTCTGAGAGCAGCCAAGAGGGGATGCAGAGATGCTCCAGCATGGCCTCCATGGGGATGTAGCCTCCAAGGGCAGGAGGGGAACCACCAGCCTGGTTGAAATTAAAAACTTAGGCAAAATTAGGGTCTTCTCCCACTGCAAAGGGGAATCTGCCCCAGATTTTCGTGAGCTGGTTGGTTTGTGTTGGGATCTCTAATGATAACTGGGGGAACTCCCCTGCTGCACCAGTTAATGCAACACCACTGCACAACTATCCTCCCTCTGTATAATGAGGTTTGTGTCCCTATAAAATGAAGCTAATAGAGAGATTTTTTGAAGGAATCTGGGAAGAGATGATGATCTGCAATGGATTTGCTTTTTAGATATCAACAACCCCATCCAATATATTTTTGCTTTATTAAACCATCCAGAGCAGCGTTTGTTGAAACTGCAATATAGGATTTTGGCCAGACTCTGCAGATCATTGTTTCATTTACAGTAAAATCCCTGATTCCATTTTTTTTTTTCAGGAATAGACATAGTGTGTGGATTATGTGATGCTTTTGGCAGATTTTTCAGGGCCTTTGTTTAAACTCTGCTGAAATGCTGTGCTGGGGAGTGATGTCAAAGCTGCCTGATGGATCAAGCAGACGTGGAGTCCTGTGCAAGCACTGCAAATATCCCAGGGCCTGAGTGGAAATCGCAGAGGCTTGTGTAAAACTTTGTGTTTCTGGGGGAAAAGCTTGGAAAAGCTCATTTGTGGGCTTATTAATAAAAATAATATATTACAGATTATGTAGTTGACCTTAAAAGACACTTTTTGTTTTCCATTGGAACAGTAGGAACGTTTTAATTGTGTGTGTTTACTAAAATGGGAAATTATTTCCATGGGTGGAGCATTGAGGGAGGAGATAAATCTGTCTTTGTTCATTTTGTATTCAGTTTTTAGGTTTAGGTAACCAATGCAATACCTAACCTCAATGCAAATAAAGGTAAATAAAGTTATCAAGTGCCCTAAATTAGTTTTGCTGGATTTCCCAGTGCACATTTGTGTTTGGAGCTGAAGTTGGCCTCTCCAGGAGATTTATGTGCTCAAGTTCTTCCTCCACTAAAAAATGGCCTTCAGTTTCCCTGAGGGATCCCACAGACACTGGGGCTCCTCCTGTGATAAATGTCTTGGAAATTAATTGGGGAGGGGATGAGGATTATGGAGCAGACAGTGCTTGCTTCCAGTTTTTTCTTCTGGATTTATTTTTCAGATGATGTTTTGTAGAATCACAGAATGATTAGGGTTGGAAGTGACCTCCAAAGTTCATCTGGTCCAACATCCCTGCAATGAGTAGGGATATCATCGTTAGATGCAAAATTTTGAGCCATAATTGGAGTCAGAAAACTTCAGAGAATCACAGAATATGCTGAGTTGGAAGGGATCCACAAATACCTTTGAGTGTAACTTCACAGACACAAGCCCTGCACAGACACTCCAGCAATCCCACCTTGTGCCTGAGAGAATTGTCCAAACACTCCCTAAGCTGTGGAGCCTTGGGACCCTGAGCATTCCCTGGAGAGCCTGCTCAGTGCCCAACCACCCTCTGGGGGAAGAGCCCAAACCTCCCTAACACAGCTCCAGCCATTCCCTCTCATCCTTTCTAACTCTGGTTATTTGAAAGAAATAATCTGAGGAAAAGGTTCAGCTCTTTTCCAAGAAGAGCTGGTAGAAATCTGAATTTATTTTCCTTTACTCCACACGAGGCATCTTTAGAGCGAGCACTCAGCACTGTAATCCCTTTCTCATATATGGAGGGAGAGACAAAACCTGATGCTTTCTTGTTCTCAGCTGGAAATGGTTCATTTTTCTTCAGCTGCTCTAACATAATATCCCAGAATTACTGGAGGAACAGTCTCTGCCTGCCTTGGCTCCAGCCCAGCCTTGCTGGCTCCCTGCTCTGCTGACGTTCCCAGCTGTGGCACTGCTGGTCACCCCTCACTGGCTCATGGAGTTGAGGCCTCCAGCCCTCCCTGGGCCCACTTGTGGCAACCAAGTCTTAAATCTGCATTTTGTCCCTGTAATTAAGATCTAAACTCCTGCAGGCCATGTTTAAGAGGGAGAGCAGGCCATGGCTTAAAGGAAGCACCAGGAAGCAAAAATCCATGAAATGGGACTCAAGAGTGAAACTCCTAGGGCACAAAGTAAAGAAATAAGTGGTGTTCTCCTTTTTGCTGCTCTGCACCAATGGGTGTTCCTATTTTAGTGTTTCACACTTACTGGAGGAGGTAGTGTAGGATGTGGGGAAGCTGTAAGTACCTCCATGTCCTTAGTCATCAGCACGTGCTGAGTTTTTATTTAGAAAGCCCCAGTGGCTCCTCCCTGGCATCAGGAGTCAGCTGCTTTCACGCTGTGACCTTGAATGCAGATTAGGATGATTTGTTTGCACCCGTGGTGCTCATCAGAGGTGATGAAGGAATCAAGACCAAGCTCCACTGGGTGGTAATTGCAGGCAGGGGCCTGGGGAGATGCAGGGATTCCCATCCTTGCCAAGAGTGTTTTTGTACAAGCAGATGATTTAATGGGGTCTCCACAGGTCAGGAGAAGGATGCACATCCACAGATTCCCTTAATCCAGAAAGCAAGGAGGGAAAGAACCAGAGTGACCATGAGATGGGGATGGTGAGGGATGGCGTGGGTAGTTGTTTAAATTGCTTAAAATCCCTGTGTTTGCTGACAAATCTGGGACTTGGAAGTGTTTACGTTGTTGAGGAATATTTCTTTGGACTGTTTTGATTAGGAACCATCTGACACCCCTCTGCCTTGTTGCCTTGGATAATTAAAAAAAGCCAGCATGCTGGCTGTGGGTTTGCAGCATTCCTGAAGGGGGATAATGGATGGTGTGAAACTCACTTTTGTTCCAAGTTGTGCAGTTGAGGGAGAGAAGCTGATGGTCCCACAGTCAAGAGCTGCTGGAAAAGTGTCCACAGAGCCGAAAATTATAAAATCACATATTTTGGTGAATGTAGAAGAATAGAAACCAAATGTGGAATCTTGCCTTGGCTCTCTGGATGAACCAGAAGAATTATTTTTTTCCCTGCTTGATTTTGAAAGGTAAAATCGAATTGTAGGAACTGGGGGGTCCTGAGTAGTGCTGAGCACTAAAGAAATGAACCTTGAAGTGTCATTTCCAGTGATAGAGACCTTGCTGGCAGGTGACATCATATACAGATGACTTGATGTATTCTGATTTCCACAGCAACAAGTTCTTGTTGCAGGAAGAATCAGTTGTATAAAAACTCCCTGGGTTTTATCAGGGAGAATCCCATAATGGTTGTTTTGGCATAAGGAGATTTTTGTGCAGAAGGGCATCATTATTGCTAGGGTTTGTGAGATTCCTGACCTTTCACTGTCTTGTTTGCATTTCCTCTTCATACTAATTCCTGGATTAAACCCTTAAGTCAAAGTACGTACATAGAGTTGTTTTGGTTGGAAAAAACCTCTAAGATCATTGAATTCAATTGATAGACCTCTGTGTTTCCCATTTTCCTTGTCAAATCATAAATGGTTTCCCTGTGATAAAAATATGGCCTTGGATGGCTTCAGAAATGTGGATTTTGAACAATCAGAGATGTCCAGAGGAGGTCTGGTGCCTGCCTGGAGTCCTTCAGGTCGGATAAGCAGTTTGTAGAGACTTCAGTGTAGCTTATCTGTATCAATCCACATCCATTAATTATGAGCTCCAAGATTTTCACCCAGATTCATGATGTCTTTTTTGACTTGGAAATTTGGTGAATATCAGTCAATGACTCAAAGTCTTTATTTCTAAGTGATTTATTCTGGGAGAGAGGACACCTTCTGAATTCCTCAAAGTAAGAGGGTCTTGAAGCTGATTGGGAAAGTGGCTTTTCCCCAACAGCTGCAGGTACTACTTAATTTGTCAGCACTGTTTTCCTCATTGCTGAAGTGTCTGTGTTTGCACAACTGAGTTTTGTTCTGCAGACCTGTGAGGGCTGATTAGAGACTGTCACCTCGCCAGGAACTGGGGCTTTAGGGAGTAAACATCCAGTGCCAACAGCAGAGTAAATATCAGGTGCTTTTCCAAGGGTTTCTTCCTCCTTCTGACTCCTCCCCACCCTTAAAAGCATGAAAGAAAACCTCCTTCACTTGGATATCTCTGAAACTGATGACACTTCTTGGCTTATTCTAGAGTAATTTGTATGATTTCATCTTGACAACACTGGAAAGTTGACTTATTTTGCCAAGAGAAAGTGTGGGAGGGAGGAGGCACACTGGGAATAAGGAAACCAATGGGAAATTGCTACAACTGGGATGTCTGAATGCAGAAAATCAGGTTCCTTTGAATACCCTGGTGTTAGGTTTCTGATGCTGGGTTTATGTGCTGAGTTGGCTCCTCCCAATGGCATGTTTTTACCCATTGAACTTAACTCTGCAAGGGCTGGCAAAAGTGTTTTTTGTTTTTTTGTTTTTTTTTTTTAACTAAATTTTGATCTTTGAATGTGTTTGCACTGATTTTTTTTTTCTTTTTTTTTTTTTTTAGTTTAAATGTTAGCAATTTTTTTTTACTGGATTTAAAATAAAAAAAATCACTAAAATAATCATTAATATCTGTACTTTTGTTCTAGGTGAAAGAAGAGATGCTGTTTGAGGCCCTGGTGACCAGAAAGACAGTGACAGTGGGAGAGAAGCTGATCTTACCATACAAATTGGCAGAGGTCAGTACATGATGTTTGTTATTAAAAAGCAACTCTTGGAATGGTTTTCAATACTCTGAGATGCACACTCAGAGTTTCTTTCAATTTTTATTTATTTATGTCAAAATAATGTAGGAGAAGCTAATGGGTGTCCTAATCTAGGAAATTATTGACTTTTCTTCTATTCCATTCCTGGAAGTACTTTATTCTGATGGTTTGTAAGTGCTTTAATGATTTGTGGTTGTGTGAGAGTTGTCCAAAGCAGAGCTGTGCATTGCTGAGTGTGAGTGTGAGTGCAGGTGTGTGTTCACCTCCAGATGTCATTCCTTGAGCTGGAGAACTGACTCCACAGCAGAGTGCTGACCCAAGACTCCAGGAAATTTTTACTGCCTTCTTGAGTGCCTGTGTTAGTGTGGTTCTTGTATGGCAGGAGCTGCAGATCTCCATAGGAGATTCCCAGTAGCTTTTCCTCAGACCCCTCAAAACCTGGGCCCTTGTGGATGCTTTGGAGCAGCCACAAATCCATCAGCTTCTCTCAGACTCCAGTGTAGTTATATGGGATCTTCAGGAATTCTGAATTCTATTCTGTGGCTCGTAAAGAGAAACTTTTTTTTTCTCTTATATTCTTCAAAATACATAAGTTCTGTTTTGCTGAACTGCTTGTTTTGTCTATTTCTGCCTCTAATCTTCTTGTATCCCCCAGATTATGAACACTGAGCATCACACCACACTTGGTCCCTCCATTCCCTCTTGTTGTAGGGTTGTGTGAGAATTTAGAGCACCTTGAATAGCATCTTGAGCAGCCTGTTGTGTCACAAATAGCTAAACACATCACGTTGTCACTGGGGATCACCTGGAGATATTTTGACTCCTTTTTCTGTGAGGGGAAAAAAAGTATATTTTCTCCCACTTTCAGGGTGTGTTTAAGCTCAGTAACTGTTACTGAGCTTTAATCTTTAGAAATGAAGTCTTGCCTTTGTGCAAAGGTGAAATGTGCCCTAACAAAGGGCACACAAGGGCTCTCTGGGTCTTTGTGATGGACATTTAATGTGGTGTTTCTACTTTTTTCCTTCATCTTGGGCACAGACTTAAAAAAAATGGCTAGAAAAGTTTAGAACTGAGCTATAACTACCCTTCTGCTGGAGGGTTCTTAGAATATCATAGAGTGGGCTGGGTTGGCAGGGACCCTAAGGGTGATCTTGTTCCAAGCTCCTGCCATGGGCAGGGACACCTACCACTGGACCAACTTGCTCCAAGCCCCATCCAACCTGGGCTGGAACACTTCCAGGGGTGGGACAGCCACAGTTTCTCTAATCTATCTGTGCCAGAGCCTCATCACCCTCACAGCCAACAAATTCTTCCCAATATTCCATCTAATTCTACTTTCAGTAGGATTGAAGCCATTCTCAGTCAGTTTGAAGCAATTCCCTCTTGTCTTGTCCCTCCAGGCCCTTATCCCAAGTCCCTTTCCAGCTCTCCTGTAGCCCCTTAGGGCCCTGGAGCCTTCTCTTCTCCAGGCTGAACAATCTCAGTTCTCTCAGCCTTTCCTCACACCAGAGCTGCTCCATTCCTCTGATCATCCTGGTGCCCCCTCTGGACTTTCTCCAGCAGCTCCATGTCCTTCCTGTGCTGGGCTCCAGGGCTCTGGGGCAGCTTTGCAGGTGGGGTCTCACCTGAGCAGGACAGAGGGGCAAAATCCCCTCCCTTGACCTTCTGCCCAACATCTGCAGTGTATTGACACTGCTGGGAACAGTCTTACCTTGATGCTCTTTCTGGTGAGTTGAACTAGAATGGCTCAGCATGATTTTCTCAAGTGCTTTCCCAAATGTTTTTGGTGATATGGCTGCTCCCAAATCCCAGGTATCCCCTTGGAAAGGTTTATCACCAGTAGAAGAAAGGAAAGATCAGGGTGTGGTGGCTGTGGGGGAAGGCAAGGGGAACAAGGCTCCTTTGGGAATGGTTGATGTGATCTCCATGACAAAATCATTTGGGAGAAGCTGTGAATTGTGTTAAGATAAGCACCTCCCATGCTTTTTGTTTACCTCCTTACATCATCAGCATCCTGACCACCAAATTTAATCCAGCAGTGATCTTGCTCTGGGGGCAGGTTCACTGCTCACACAGCAGAATTTGAGATGCTCCAACTTGAACCTCCCCATGGTAAGAGGCCTTCTCCTGGTCTTTCTCTGGCTCAGGGAGTAGGAGGAGTGACTTAAATTCAGATCTGTCTGAATCAGGGAGGAAGAATGGGATTCATTTGACATTTGGGACTTCACAAAGACTACTGATGTCTGATAATCCCCACTCATGACTCACTGGGCTCTTGGGAATCAACGGGCTGGTTATTCCTGTGTGGTTAACAAAGGAGCATTATAGTTGGCTCAAACGGATGGAGCCATTGAGGGTTTGAGGATTTGCAGACATGGGTCTCCCACCACGACCTCTGTAGCTCATGGGCAGCTGCCTTTCCTGATGGATACAGCAGCTATTTTATTCTTCAGATGCCTGTGGGTTTTTTCATAGTTTGGTACACTGAAATTTTCAGTGGAGTTTGTCTGGAAAAGACTGCTCCACAGGCTCTCACAAAAAGGATTGCATAATGTCATTTTGGCATGTCCTTTCTTCTTTACACCATCAAGAAGAGCAGATTGGATCTACCAGTCTTCAGGTTGCAACAGAGGTGGTAGATGGTAGATTCCCTGGAAATGTCCAAGACCAGGTTGGATGGGGCTTGCCCATGGCGTGGGATGGATGGAGACAAGCTTTATGGTCCCTTCCCACCAAACCATGTGGGATTCCACATAAAAAGCTTGAGATTTAAGTTTGGGATGGGTTTTGAGCTTTGATAAGGTTCCCATGTGTGTCTGCTCCATTCTGGAATGTTTCACTTTCTGTGCTGAGCACAGGGGCTGACATTTGCCCATCCCTTTCATCAGTGTTGGAGTATGTGGAGATGACAACTCTGTGCAGAAATGCTTTTTGTGGAAAGTGAATGTGATCATTCCATGATCCCAGCCTGGCTCCTGAGAGAGCTGTGCCCTCAGGGTCCTGCTGTGACAACTGTCACCCCCTTTAATAATCTTGAATGGGCAGAGTTGGCCTGAAGGGATCCTTCCCTTTGGTATTATGGAGGCTTCAGAACTGAGACTGGGGTTTATTTTCCAAGCCAAGCCTTTTCTCTTGCCCTTCCCTGAGCTGCAGCCCTGGAGCACATGGAGAGGCCGCCTTAGTTGGATTTGCAGTGATGTCACATTCCTGGCTGGCTGCACGTTCCTGCCTTCTTGTGTGCTGATTGGAAACACAGTCCTGTGGTTTGGGCCTTTTTTTTTTTAGAAACAGTGGTTTGGACGCTTGGCAGCTTGCTTGAAACATTCTCTTTCAGTTATGAATTGATACCAGACAGACTGCTCCTGGTTCTGTTCATCTTTGCAGTAATTTGGGTAAAACTACATCTTTTATTTTGGGTAGATGGTACTGCAAAGTGGGGACAACCTGTGGATGGACATCATGGAATCACTGATGAGTTTGAGTTAGGAGGGACCTTAAAGCTCATCTCATTCCACCCCCTGCCATGGGCAGAAACACCCTCCACTATTCCAGCTTGCCCCAAGCACTGTCCAGCCTGGCCTTGGACACTTCCAGCCATGGGACAGCCACAGCTTCTCTGGGCACCCTGTGCCAGAGCCTCTCCAGCCTCACAGGAAGGAATTCCTTACCAGTATCCCATCTAACCCTGCCCTGTGGCAGTGGGAAGCCGTTCCACCTTGTCCGAAGTCCCTCTGGGCTCTTGTTCCAAGTCCAGCTCTCCTAGAACCCCTTTAGGCACTGGAAGGGGCTCTTGAGGTCTCCCTGAAACTTTCTCTTCTCCCAGCAGCTGGAAGCCTGCAGTGTTGAAGGAGAAGCTGCAACTGGCAATCACAGTAAATAAACTCCTGTTTATTCATATTGTACTTCCTCTCTTAGGACTTCTTGATGGTTTTACCCCAGAAGCTGAGTTGGGCTTTTCCCTCAGGAATAATGTGCCATTTTAAAGTTAGGCGGAAATATTGACTTTGTCAACTTTATGGTTTTTTTAATAAATTCAAGACATTTTGATTCTTGCCCACATATGTGGATGATCTTGGAGAATCCAAGGACTGGATTCTAGTACCTAAAGGGGAAAGCTCCAGAGTGAGTTTTTACAAGGGCCTGGAGTAACAGGACAAGGGGAAATGGCTTCAAACTGAAAGAGGGCAGGCATGGATGGGATATTGGGAAGGAATTCTTCCCTGTGAGGGTGGGAAGGCCCTCTCACGGGTGCCCAGAGAAGCTGTGGCTGTCCCATTCCTGGAAGTGTCCAAGGCCAGGCCGGACAGGGCTTGGAGGAACTTGGGCTAGTGGGAGGTGTCAGTACCCATGGCAGGGGGTGGAATGGGATGGGCTTTAAGATCCCTCCCAACTCAAACAGTCTGTGGATCTTTGATCTAGATCGGGTATCAGGTTAAATGTAACACTGAAGTCCAGTGAGGAGGTGGGATTACAGCAATTAAAATCGGGGTCTCTTTTGTGCCCAGAAGTTGCTGGTGCCATCGTCTTCAGCTGAGAAAGTTCTTCCCAGAAGAGAGAATATTTCATTTTACTTTATTTTACCCAGGAGCATTTAAGGTGTGTGACAGCAGCACCTGCTCGAGCAGAGCTATAGGAAGGAGCAAATAATTAGTTGCGAGCCAAATGCCAGAGTGGGATTCTAGGTGTCCCAGTTCCCATCCTTGGGGTGTTACAAGGTTTATGGGATGAACCTGTGGTTTTTCAGGAAGACCCTACAAAGCATAATGTGCTTTTCTCATCATTCAGTAACTCATGGTTTACTGTTTAGAGGTTGTGTATGACCATGGTATTAACATTCAAGTACATCCCCATGTCTGTGGAGCTACAGATCTTTCTGAAATTAAGGAGAGGGCAGTCAAGGGGAGATCTGGTTTTGCAGGGAAAAATCAAAACTACTTTGTTTTGCCTCTTGTGGCTGTGGCACCGATGGCAAA